GAAACAGTGTTTATTCTGTGCTTTACACCAACGAAAGGCCTCCCCACGGCAAGGACAACGCACCGGCTGACCATTACATCTCATTTCTTTTCTGTGCAATCGGACTCTGACATTAATCAAAACAGCTGTAAGAAAATTATTCGGTTAAAAACACACACAACATTGTTATGGATAATCGTATATATACATACTCACATACATACATCTCTACTTCTACATTTAAATCTACTCCTATATCTACCGCTAACCTGTCTATCTAGATGTATGCATGTTTTATCATATATATATATATATATATATATATATATATATATATATATATATATATATATATATATATATATATATATGTATATATGTGAATATATGTATTCATAAATTCATATATATATGCATATATATATATATATATATATATATATATATATATATATATATATATATATATATATATATATATATATGTATGTATGTAGAAAGCATACCCATACATATACATATATGTATATATATACACATATACACATACATATATATGTATATATGTACATATATATACATACATATATATATATTTATATATATATATATATATATATATATATATATATATATATATATATATATATATATCCACGTATGTATACCATGACAACAAAGAGCGCCAGAGGCTACGAAAGGCTCGTCAACTCACCCCGAATTCCACCACGAGAGCGTCGATGATGGACCCAATGACGGTGATGAAGTCGAAGGTGTGCCAGGGATCCTTGAAAAAATTCTTGAAAAAGCAGACAGTGTGTTAGCAGAGGGCGTAGGCCGGGTTCGATTATTATTTTTTTTTATTATTGTCTTTTTTTTTGTTATCTTTCATCAAGCTAAAGAAAAAAATAAACTATGATCATTTTAAGAGAGAGATTTTTTTTTTTTTTTTAGATGTGATTATAGGTCAATTTTTTTTTTTTTTTTTGTGAGAACTTTCTTCAAGAGAACTATCTATTGAGAGAGAGAGGAATAAAATAATAATTAGTTATGAGAAGTTTGAAGGTGTCTCCAAAAATTAGCTTGTATACTACTATGTTTCTTATGCTATTTTCTACATTGACTACCTACTTGACTCTAGAAAAAGTTGTATATCATAGCTATATATACATATGCAATACTCTCAAAGCCAAATACTGCACTGAACGTACAGACACTACGAGGACGGGAAAACTACCAAAGAAGATGAAACGTGAAAGAAAGAAATGGGGATATAAAGTCGCGGCTTTGGAAGTGACGAGCAGTTCTAACACAGTGTGTTTCCCTCTGTGGGGGACCTACTGTGGGAAAATGGGGTTGGCCCTAGCTGCAGGAAGTATATAAATATTTATAATAATGCTAAAGTCCTATGTTAGAAGAGAAGAGCAAAGGGTGAGGTGGCGACAGTATTTTTTTTTTATACAATGACACACTGGATGTAGGAGAGGGATGGGTAGTTTGAGTTGTGGGGACGGGGTGAAGGGGGAGGGGAAGGGGGGTGGATGTGTAGATAAACAGTTAAGGGAAGTGCGGTGAGGATACAGAGTACGAGGTAATAATAAAAAGGTTCCCAGAAGGCAAGAAAGGCGGAGGGAGAAGGTAAGGACAGCGAACAAAGTCCTGAAGGGCAGGAAAAGAGGGAGACAGAGCGAGGAGAGAGGGCAGCGAGATTCAAGAAGAAGGAAGGAGAGGGGGAGGGGGGTTGTTGTAGAGTGAGTGGGGGGGTGTTAGGGGTCGGGTTGGGGTTGGGGTGGATGGGTCAGGGAGTTCGTCGATGGATGGGAAGTGAGGGAACACTCGAGAGACTCTAAGAAGAGGAGGAACCATATCTTGTGGTGTGAGGTGGACATTGGTGAGCGTGTCAAGCTGACCCTGAGCCTGGAGTTTATGTGTGGGAAAATAATCTTTACTCCATCTGCTGTCAAGGCTCAAAGTCCTGTGATTGTTGCAAGACATGTAAATTAACAAGTGCGGGACGGATCTGAGGATGAAACTAAAGATCGGGCTTATTATACTAAAAAAAATAATGATAAAATCAGGGAAATCATTAATATGAGTTAACAGTGTACTCTTCATGCTTACACAGGGACTAAAGGGTCTGAATGTGTTGTCAATACTGAGTGTTTAATCTTTCAAGCCGACTATAAAACTCGGGTTGTCATTTACGAAATGTGTTTGAAAGTAATAATATTCTAACACCTTTACAAATGGTCCTTAACTGTCAGAACAAAATGCAGACAAAAAAAAAAGTGTTTAGCGATATACCTTCCGATACTACGTCTGTATTCCAATGTATATGAAAAGAGAAAAATAAATAAATGAAGCGTGGTCCCACGTATACTCAAGACTCAGCAGTCTTACGTTCGAAAATCCTGTCTTTAGAGCTACCGTTTTGACCTTAACGCCCTGGACTTTGTCATCCTCAGATAGGCCCAATGAGGGCAGGCATACCTTAGAAGGAATTCAGGTAAATCCAGTTGGAAAAAAAAGACTTGTACATACGTGTAACATTGAAAATAAAATAAGAAAAATGTAACTGTTGTTGGAACTCAGTATGGTAAATGAAATCATAACAGTTTGTAGAGCAAGGAAAAAGGCTGGAGAGGAGTCAAACTCAAAACGAAATAAGAGAGATGGATCACAAAATGCTCTTTTGTTTTTGGTTTAAGGATAGTTCACCTTTTTTTTGCGGAAGAATGGGAGAGAGAGAAAAGGATCGGAGAGTAAAGGATTTTTTTTTCTTTTTTTCTACTTTGCTGTCTGAAAGTGTTGTTCATTTCTTATAGAAATAGGAACGCCTATGAGTTGAGAATTTCAAAGGGGATCTTTTAATTCTGTTTGTATTTTTTTGAGCTTGTCAACTATGCTTAATTTAGACGGTGGTGTTTTTTTTCTTCTTTTGTGAATAATCACAGGAACCATACAACAAAATCTGTGTTTTTTGCACTACCAGTTGCAGGAAACATTCACGCTTGGCAAAAAAAAACAATATCTTTGAACACTAAAGACGCGCATTCACCTAATTTTATTCCAGATGTCGGATCCAAAAAAGAAAAAAAAAAAGAATGCTCAAATAGCCATAAAATGCATGTATTTAATCAATATAACAGAAATAAATGGCTGACGCTGCGGGTTTCCATGCTAACGAGGCTCAGAACTACCGGACCAATAGTTAACCTTGAGGCAAGTGTTACGAGGTTGAACACTGCCCACGCTTCGCCATCGTCCTCACTTCAGGATGACTTCAAACAGAACATCACATACGGCTGCTAATAAACCTCTTTCACTTGGACTACTGTCAAGCTTATACTTGTAACTACATGTAAAAATATACAGGTGATTTAGCTAAACTGCTAATCTACTTGTAGTCGCAGCTACTTCTACTTCCACGACCAGCTGCCACACCAGGTATAAGGTGCCTTTGTTAATCAGAAAACCGCTAGAGAAAAGGACAAGTAAAAAAAAATATATATATAATTAAAAAAATAACTATTTTATAAGCTGTTGTCATTTTCTTTTTCTCTTTTAAAAGGTGTCTTGGATCATCTTTGCGATAATATAGAGAGGACTCGCGTGTCTCTCCTAAAAATATATATATATAAAAAGCAAATAAAAAAATATTAATTAATTCTCCGGTCCGGTAGTTTGTATGGCTCCGCGGACCCAGACGAACGCTTCATATAATCACAATTATGTAAGTTGTAATTTCGTGTGATTATTTCAGTCTGAATTTGGTCATCTTTTGAAGGGGGGTAGGGGGGGAGGGGAACAGATCACAAAGCAGTGCTCCCGTATGTCAGGTATTTTAAGGACAAGGATACTATACTTTTATGACAGGTGTTTTTGATCAGTTTTCTGTCCTCTTTGTTGGGTTGTGTAGGATTATTATTATTATTTTTTAAAAATATAATCATAAATATATAAATATGATTCTAAAAAACCGCTCGCTCTGGTTGTTTTATTTTTTTCATCTCTACGTCAAAATTTGCTTCAAGCATGTTTCCATATTGTTTTTTTTTTATTTCGAGTTTATCTTTGCAGAACCTGTATTCATCATGCATCATACCATTCGTGTCTTACTCGCAAATTAATCTTAATCCTTATTTAACCCATGCTTGCAACATTGCACTGCAAGACAAAGTAACCGTCCTGCATACTTTGTCCATGTACAGTTGTGTGTTTGAAGGTTAAAAAAACGTAAAAAAATGCAAAATGTGAACAAAGCAAGAGACAGGCAGAGAGTGAAGGAGTGATCCATGGATAAATATATATAAGTCTTCCCTACCCTGCATCCATACGCTATAATTTTCAAAACACATTCAAGCAGAAAGAAAACGGTGAAAACGTTGTTGAGGTATCCCAGAATGTCCATGTAGAGATTTCCCGCTTGGTAATACTACAGAGAGCGCGTTACGATGGCCCAGGGTTGAAGTTGGCGCGCAGAGTGTTGATTGGTCGGGGGCGCCAGAGGGGAGTGGGCGGGACCGCGAATCACAAGGGTATGTATCCAGTTGTGACACGTGATTGGTTGGCAATGGATATCGGCCACGACCAATCAGTGATGAGGAACAATGATTTTCAGGTGGCACCGTTGATTTTCAAGTTTTATGTAAGGAAAGAGACACAGAGAAACACAAAATTAATACTTATACCATGAATTAATGGAAGTGGTCATTCAGTTTATCTGGTAATAGACAGATGAATATGATACTTTGAACAATTCGGGTATCATGTGTCTGGTGTGGTTACAAGTCTCGGCCGCGAGTCTTCAAAAGTACTCGGTTACAAAACCAATCTAGGCTAGGTTACGGAGTCTAGGCCTACTGATCTCGTCCGAAGAGAGAGGAAAAACCACTATAAATCTAGGTACAAGACTTGGAACCACAGACTAGAGCAAGCATATCACTCAGTCCAAGGGGAACATTATCAAAGGGTCGAGCAAATGCAGCTGTTTTTTTCGCTGGCACGATGCTGGTGCGGGGGGGAGGGGGCTAAAGAAGAGGGAGGGGCAAGGGGGGACATTCTGGCCACGCCCTAAGGGGGGAGGAGGGAAGGGGTGGCGTCATTCACACGAATGCGATGGGATGCATTTAGCCAGCCAAAAAAAGTGCACTTAGCTACAGGTTTTCGTCTTAATGCATGGCTACCAGTGCACGTGCTAACCGTTCAAGAGCATGCCCAGATGTTTTCGAAACCGGAATAAAAGCTACACGTTAATTAAAGATGTTTTTTTTTTTTTTACTTCCAAATCATAAATGATATCTAGAAAATCAACACTGCAAAAGCTAATGCGCTTCTAGAGTTTAATGCCAATGAAAAAAATGATTCTTTTTTAGGTAATGGTAATAAAACATGATTAATGATCGAAAAATCATAAAAAAATATGCTAAAATCATAGAAAATATGCCTGCCACTACAATTGCCATAGTCACTCCTACTGTTATTACTACTGCTACTTATTCTACGAACAAATAAAAAAAAAAAAAACAGAAATAAAAATTATCCCAAATCAAACAACAGAAATAACGTAAAAATAATGAAAATAATATATATGGATTGCGTGATGATACAAATGATAATAATGGTAATCAAGTGAGCTTTAACTTTGTGATAATGCATATGACATTTAAAATTCAACTTAATAAGTGACACTACCAATGACAAAGAGAAAAAAAGGCTGCTGTGAAACTTAAATAATAATAATAACGACAATAATAATGTGATGTCTGGCTGAAACAATCAACAGTGTTATGCTCCAGTCTGATTTTCTCCTCACTATCATTATTGCAACAGAAAAATAAGGACTAAGGTGATCATAATTCCAAATTAAGACTAGCAGCAGAAACTTATATGATGATAAAGTGATACTGAATGACAATAGCGACTTAATAAAGAACTACCAATAATGATAATGGCGATGATGATTAATAATGATAATAATAATTATAATAATAATAATAATAATAATAATAATAATAATAATAATAATACCACTAATGAGAATGATAAGAGCCAAGTTAAGAAAACGAGACGAAGTCGAGCCTATCACTCGCCTCGTCTCGCTACTAACACGTGTGCTTTGAGTCTACGAACCGTGACAACCAAAATAAATCATTTATTTAATTCTAAAGGAGAGCATGCAACTCTAAAATGCATTCGTTTCGCCAAGATGCAACATGCAACATTCAGGTTTGTGCATCATGAAGACAGACGTGCAAACGAATCATGCGCATGCGGTTATGCTACATCGAGAAGGTTAGATGTCACACATGCAATGCATGCCATGCAAAAATATCCTTTTCCATCATGCACGAAGAACCATTAAAATAACACGACGTCAACAGATCGTTCGGGGACGATGCAATAATGCAACATTGGTGAGGACAATGGTATACGGCGCCACCATACAGAAAACGGAGCCACAGCTCAGAGCAAAAGACAGTCGGGTCATGCGATCGCTGAGGAGGAATGGTGGGAACCTCCGATGGCAGGACGCGCGCGCTGCTGGGGAGAAGGCAGTCCCACACGGCATTCTAGTGGACCGTCCTTTATCTCTCGCGTTCAGAGAGACAAAGATTGGAGGGCGAAGGGGGGAGGGGAAGGGGCACAGATTCACAACTTTGAGAAGATCAGTATTCTGTACATGTTTTTTTTTTTTTTTTTTTTTTTTTTTTTTTTTGAACTCCACCTCTTTCAGTGTTTCTTTCCCTATGTTAGAGGAAGGTGAAGAGGTGACAAGAGCGAGGGCAGGAGGAGAGATGATCAAGAACCTCCGTAGCCTCGGTCGGAAGGACGAAAGGTCCACAGGAGGCGTAAGAGGAGTAAGTCTGCACATGTTAGGTCACACCTGTATCTTGTCCCTATCGAAAAAGAGGCAAAAAGGCGCAGGAAGTGTTTGGCAGAAGAACATAAAATAGACGCGGGAACTTAAAGACGGAAGAATCGCAGGTAAGTGTAAGATCCAGAGTATGATGAATAATAAAAAAAATATCTAGTGGGGTGAGGCAAGGGATGTGTGAGACGAGTACAACAAGGGAGACAGATGGAAAGGGGCACCGCCGTCCCCAGGAGGGCGGCCGGTGCACGATGACGTCACGGCGGGAACACCGAGGCTCAACCAATCATGTAAGCGCTAAGAAAGGGGGAAGGAGAGACTGCGCGAAGGAGAAGAGAGGAAAGGTGAAAACAGGAGAAGACAAAAGGATGAACAAGTGTACTCTAGAAGTTCTAGAGATGAATCACGAGAGTGTACCATACACACCGTAACTGAGAAAGGACAGAATGTTGTTTAGAATAACTATCGAGTAATGAGCTCACGATGCCTATCAGCACCACTGCAGAGGCTACCTGGACAGTATACAACACACCCGGGGCTAATCAACCTAACCTCCTAGCCTAAATATATAACGAATTTCAGCCATTCAACAGACAGACTCCCATCCGTAAAATAAAACGTTTCCCTAATAACATCAAGACAGAAAACATAGATCGAAACCAGTCACTATAAGACAAGTTTGCAAACCTATACAACAATGCTCATTTTTTTATTATTATTTTTTTTTAAGTCAACTGTTTTTTTGTTGTTTTTTTTAAAATCTGGAATGGATAATTTAGAATGTAAGATAATTCAGAAGGGCAGATATTAGGCACTTTCCCACTTAAACTAAAAAAAGGAATCGTAATGTATAATGTTTAATCTGGCTTTTAGATATTTCGACACACACTGAACTTAGCTGTGTATTCATTCAGTCGTTGGAAAGGGAAACTAAACATAAATAAACAGTATATGTAAATATCAATGACTGTTTGAGGACCTATTATCAAATTCATAATGTATTAAAACTTAAGAAGTGAATGATATTTGTTATCAACGGGGTTTGTTAAGGGAAAATGTATAACACAATCATTACTTTTTTTTACATCTATACAGTGGGAATAATCTCTGCTGTCTACGCGAGCAGCTAATACTATCGGTCTACTTTAACTACTAAAGCAACTTTATCTTAATAATTCTACGAAGAAAGCTCTCTTGATAAGATTGATATATAGTATATATCATGAAATTGGATCTTCTACATCATTTTTTATGTCTTAGATTTTATCATATGAATCTAAATAAACATAATCTTGAATACTTCAGGTAAGAAAAAAAAATATATAATTATCTTGGCCTAATTTGACGTCAGATTGATTAGGCCGAAGAGTCGCTTGCCATTATGAGACCTCTTTGTAAGTGCTGGCTACTTATACGCATCTTCACTGACAGAGGTCTCAGCGACGTCACTATTTATTTCTAAAACAGACAGGCAATCATCTCTACATTAATGACAAAACAAACTAGGTCACTAAATCTGCCAGACCTATGGTTATATTTAAAAAATAAAATACATTACGAATTTCCTACTACCTTGAAAAAATCCTATATATACACACGACAGTTTACACACACACACACACACACAACCTAAAGACGATTTCTATGGTCTACTAACCAAGGATACGCTTCTAGTTAAAAAAAAAAAGTAGCTACGCACAGGACCTATGGATGACGTAACGAACTAGGGGAGTGGGGAGGGCAAAGCTTATCTTAAAACAGGGTTTGATCTAGACAGTAGGCCTGTGTAACACCAACGAGAACCTAAAGGAGTTTAGCACGGACCTTCACTAAAGCATACGAACTGATAATCTTTGGAGGTATACGGACTCTAGGTACAACGTACTTTTGAAAGGACAGTCAGACAGATGGACAGACAGACAACAAAAACGACACAGAGATGAAAGAGAATGAGAGAGAACGACACATACGACAGGAATGACATAAATAATAGGTCTGAAATACACTAGAAATGGGAAGAACAATGATGAAAGAAGAGTATGAGACACAGAAAAAGAACTAGAGATAGATACATAGAGAGAGAGAGAGAGAGAGAGAGAGAGAGAGAGAGAGAGAGAGAGAGAGAGAGAGAGAGAGAGAGAGAGAGAGAGAGAGAGAGAGAGAGAGGCCAGGAGTATATAAAATGATCTAAGAAGTGATACATAAGAAACAAATGAGGGATTCTTTTTTTTTTCTTTATGACAGAGAGAGAGACCCTTAACGAGTTGCCTCTCAAGATTTAGCACAGTAGATTTCTTCCTTACCCTGACTCCGAATGCCGCAATCTTGAGTAAACATTCAATGGTAAAGAACGAGGTGAAGATTGTGTTCATGTTGTGCAGAGTTTCTTTGTACAATTTGGACTGATTATGAAACTGGCAGGAGAGAAACACAAAACACAAAACATCAGTAACGGGGCGCATTTTGGTTGGTTAATAAGTTGGTCAACATGTAATATTCAAAACATGATAACATAGTACTGGCGGATCTAATACTGCTCGATTAGGTCCAGGCTTTTATCT